CCGGCCCCCCCGCACCGAGGTGGTGGCGGCGCGGAGGGGGCGCAGCCACCGGCCGGGCGCCGCTGGGAGCATCCCCGCTCCGCGGCTCGCCCCGGCCTTGCAGGGATTTGTAAATGACGCCGTGAAATCTCGGTCGCCCCGGGGTGATTTCAGCGGCAGCAGCCGCCTTTCCTCCCTCCGTTCCCTGCCGCACACCTCCTCCTGCTTCCCAAATCCCCGCGGCCGGCGTCGTTATTCGCAGGATGCTTTAATTTTTTTGTCCCTCTGCGAGGCTGTTGCTTGGAGCCATTTTCCGCGGGTTTCTCCACCCCCAGCCCCTCTTACACCGCCAGCCTCCTGCCGCTGGGAATTCTGCGGATCAGTCATCCGGGATGGGCACAGTGAGTGGCTGGTGAAGCCGTTTCAGCTCCCAGCTGTGTTTGTCTCGCTTCCTCCAAGGTTTCTCTCTTCCAATGCTGCAAAGCCCTGCCCTGTCAAAAGTGTTACTCTTTTTTTTTTTTTTTTTTTTAATTTTAAGGCATTCTTGTGACGAGACTTTTGGCAATGCAGCCGAGTGACACATGGAAAAAAAAAATCTTACTTGGCATTTTAAATAATCTCAGCGCTGAACACCTGTCAGAAAGAAGGTTTTCATATTAATAGTTAATTTGGCTGAAATCAGCTGTTCCTGAGTGAGAGGGAATGGGCAAATCCTGGATCCCATTAGATGCTTTACTGTAAATTCTGGGCTCGAGTACTCCAAAGCCTGTGCGTACACCACTGTGCTCAGTAGGGTCTCTCAGGAGAGATGGTGGCCTTAGTTATCTCAGACATCTCAGGAATATATTGATGTCGGCTATCTTTTCATAGACTAAAATAGCTGAAAATGGGAGATGCTTAAAACCCATTTGGTCCAGATTTTGTTACTGCATCAAGCCAGATGTTCCTCACAGTCATGCCAGCCTTCCCCCTCTGCTGCTTTGGTGGCTTTGATGAAATTGTGCCTTGTTTATACTGCTGTGTCCAGGATCAGAAGCAGGGCTCAACACCCTCTCTTCGGGCAAGTGATCAGATTATGAAGTCTGCTTTACAGCAGTTTCACATAAGGGAAGTTTTTTTCCACATGGCTAGAGATTTACTAGAGTTCTTGGTGAAGAGCTTTCCCATCTGGCACAGATTTCATAGCAATCTTCCTTGTTGCTTTCGTGCAAACTGGCACAAAATGTTTTAAAGGTGTGGGTGTCCCTCCACCCTTCTGCCCTGTCAGACTGGCGTGATGGGGAGGGTACTCACAGCAGGGGAACCCTGAAGGGAGATCTCCAGTGGGACATTGAAGTGCTCTAACCACTTGCCCATGTGATACGAGTTCTCAGGTCCAGATAAAGCCCTTTGCAAGGGAAAAGCTGTCAGCACTCCTGGGGAACGGAGGTGATGTTATGAGAGGGCTACTTCAACCTTCTCAAGTACCACAGAGGTGCCACTGGTGACTGCACAATTTTAGAGCAGGAGTCAGCTCTCCCCCAAATCAGAGAGATAAAGCACCCAGCTCCTTGGGTGCAGGTTCTGAAGGATGCACCTCTGATGATCTATTTGCAGAAATGCTGTATGTAATTCTGTAATGTTTCTGAGTCAGCGACATCTCTGCGCATGCAGTGATAACATTGAGGCCCTGCGTAGGAAAGAATGCAGAAAGTGCATGAATGACTGGAGAGAGAATAAAGTCAAAGTTTTTTATTTCAGACTCCTACGTTTTCTGATACAGATGTTTCTTTCATTAAAAGTCCTTTTTTAGAGTAAAGAAAAGGTTCTTAGTTTTGAGACCCTGCAGACCAATTCTGCTGCACTTCCTCCAGGATTTTCTCTGTAGGCACCCACTCGCTTTAGGACCAGACTGCCACTACCCCTGCTTTGCAGTCCTGGTGCCTAGGGTCATGCTTTATTCACAAAAGTTTGTGCTTTCCCTCACCTTGGTGCTTCATTGCTACCTAATTGCAGCAAAGAGCTCAGAAATAGTTGGCACATACAAGGCATTCAATACAGGGTATCTCTAGGGCATTCAGTGCAGTTGCTTGAGCAACCACCCCTTTTTTTATACACCCACTCACTGCCTAAATGAAAAGGCAGCAACCAGATGGAAAGAAGTTTGCTGACCCCCTGACTGGGGGTCTTGTTCTTGCGGAAGATCTGAACCATAACAATTCAACAATGCAGCTGCTACTACCAGCAGCATGGTAGGCAAGGTGGGCTTGCCTGCTTAGAATTGGAGAAGAGCTGGGTTTAGAAGCCTTGCACACATAAAGGCAGGATTTTACCCAGCAGAGCAATTACTAGCTTAGGATGATACAACTCCGAATCAGGCCCCAAGATGCCTGAGATATCCCTCATGCCTCTAATGAAAGAAATAATTCTAAAAATGTAACAACTCAGCCCGTGTTCAGATGTTGATCCTGGCCCCTGTGCAGTTGTTTTGAAAGACCTTTTCCTACGTAAATAGATTCATCTGAAGCTTTTTTTTTTTCTTGAGGAAAACTCTGATATGTGGGTCAAACCACTGATGATTTGGCAACAAGATAAGAGCAAATTTTAGAATGCCTTTCAAAATGGCTTTTCAACATGCACTTTACAAGCAGACCTAAGTTTCAAGCTCTCTCTGTTCCGTTTGTAGACTTGCCTTCAAATTTAATTCATGGACAAACTTTATAATTCCCAAATCAAACATAGATGACCTCTTCAGTCATGTACCTTAGTGAGAGAGAGGGAGCTTTGAATCTGATGGAAAAGTACAACACACCTTCACTGAAGGGCTTTAGTCACTGTCTCATGTACAAAAGTACAGGTTTATTGAGTATATGAAAACCATTGCTGAAGTACTTCATGACTGACACCTGAATCCAGACCTGAATTCTGTAGAATGCCTCTATCTACCCAATACCTTTTTTATTCAAGAAGGTGATTGTGAATGTCAGTAGATGTCAGGAAATTAATACCAAATAAATAGGTCTGCTGCAATAATAATCATGCGCCACATTTTAGGACCCTGCTTCTAGAAAAATCCATCATCAGAGTCACATAAAACTAGCTGAGGTTTGGGAGGAGTGAAAGGACGTGTGACCAAGGAGGAATTTCTCTGTAAATTATTTTTCTTGTTATAGTAAAACACAGCAACAGAGCAGGATATGGATGGGGAGAATACAAGGTGCATACTGAGGATGCCACGGCATCCATTCCCGGTTGTACCCGTTGTTTCTTTGCTGCTGACTTACAAACCTGCTTCCCCGCAGCTGTTCCACTGTACATTTGAGCCTGTCTCTGATGCATTGCTCCAGGTGGGTTGCTGACGACTTGAGGTAAGCACAGGTGAGCAGGAGGTCTTTAATTTTTCTTCTTAAACCTTTTCACTTTTACTTCCTTCTTAACAGTATTTCTGTAGGCTCAGGACCTGGGAGCAACTGACTTTATCATTTTCTTCCAAACAGACATCTGACCTGCAATCAAATGCTGTATGTTCTTCTTCCATAAGCTACAATCACAGGAACCCGGGATGTCTTCCATCCTAGCAGGCCCCTATCCTGACATTTCTTCAAAGCATGTCCATCTCATATCTTGCTGCTGACAGCCTCTATTTTTACGATTTCCTCTTGACATCTGCAGCGACATTACCTCTGCAGATGGACAAAATGGTTGCCAGCAGAGCTCTCTCTGCTTACAATCTTGCTCTAAGTACATAACCCACTTGCGTATCGTTCCTCACACACACTGTCAGGGTCATCTTGTATTCTCCTTTGCAGCATCCAGTAAAGTTGCCGTGGCCCAGGCTTGTCCACATCTCTCTCTGCTACACCTCATTATTAGTACCAGCCTCTACAGTTCATTCTTTTCTTTGTCCTGGTCTGGCCTGTCTCCCTGCATTGTTTCATGGACTTACTGTATCCTTGCCTGTTTTTGACAAGGTTTTGTGCTCTAGAATTTGCCATTGCTTCTCCACTGCAGCACAAACCAAACCTAAGTTCCCAAAGCCATCTCTGCAATGATCCCTCCATTGTGCCTCTCAAGACTTTGGACATGTGCTTTAGTTTGGAAGTGCTTTGTGATAGACAGAAACCCCTGTGCTGGATCTGTTATAAAAAGCTTAATACAAGAGCACAGACAAGTACAACACGAGGCTTGCTGTTGACACTCAGCAGAGAAACACAGTCATATAAATCACATAAGCAGAAGATCCTTGTGTCTTCCCATGTGTAGACAACAGTATAACCTTATTAAATTTCAAGTGCCTGTACACTTTGCTTACTCGGAAACTTGGACTCTACTGCCATTATAAATTTAAAACCAATAAAAATGAAGTTCAAAAAGTACAAAATACACAGCCACAGGCGTACTGATGTCTTGGAGGGATTGGCTACATGCCTGTATCTTTGAGCTTGGATTTAAAATACCTCCATGGCCTATATTATTTAGGATGACAACAATTAATAACTCTAAGGAATTATTATATTGCACTCTACATAACACTTTTCCTACACTGACAGCACAAAAAGTTTTATGTATTTAGAGAGAGTTGCTGTTATGAACAGGAAGGTACCTATAAATGATATAAACCGAGAAAATTTAATCATAGACTCTTAATGACACAGTTATTTTCAGTGCATAGTCCAGAGTTAATGAGACGTGTGAATGGTTTCATTGTGTAACAGTCCGAACTTTAGCTGTAAACTGTGGCAGTTTCAGTTTCAGAGGGTGAACAGCGTCCAATTCATGACTGCTCTAATTGGGCTGAAGTCAGTGATGTTGCCAGAATGATGGGTCAAGTGCAGAGCATACGCACACACAGCCGGAGTCTGGCTATAGCTCTAGGAGGTCCCCATGGTGAATGGATGGCGGTGGGACAGACTGGTTGAAGTGGCCTGTTTGAGTAACATTTGAAGAACATGAAATTAATCTAGGAGAGGTAGAGCCACAGGTGAC